ACCCAGGCGCCCCTATTTCACTAAGAGATTCTAAAACCCTTGGGATTTCCTGAGAGATGGGGGGACAGTTATTCATAGTAATCCCCTTTCATGGAAACTGAGTTTATGCTAATGAGATGACCGGTCAGCTGGGGAACCAACCACTTGATTAGAGGGTTGGTACTTTCAGCATCATCCCCGCCCCCCTCACCTCTGTGACCGGTAGGATCTGGAAGGGCCTCCAGGGCCAGGCAAAGCCCTGAAATTAAAGGGTCTGTTCATAACCTACTATTTCTCAATCCAGACCTCTTCAGCAGGATTTTGCCAGAAAAAAAGGGGAGAGAGCATTTTCTTAAACAGCGCTAAGTTCTGAGCTCTCCCAGTCTCAGGGAAGGTGGTCACAGGATGGGTATTAACCTCTGGGCCCACGTGTGAGAACTCTGCAAGGCCACCGAGGTGCTCTCGTTGGGACGAACGAAGCCGGGAAGGATTTCCCACTTTTCGGAGTGGTTCACATATCCCAATTCTTTCAGCCTCAACCCTGTCATTTTGCACAGGGAAGATGGTGTAGAGGCAACACGGAGGGCTCTGGTGCAGGTGGCGCTGGCCAGGGAATATCAGCCCAGGTCACATAATTCCCCCGACACTGTGTCCTCGTCTGTGAAATGGGTATGTGAAAAGTAATGGACCTCGTACTGCACAGAGTGGCCGTGGGAGTCAACTCAGGCAGAAAATGAAGGGCAGCAACGCTAAGCACTGATGCTGGTACCTTCTGGTGACTTCTGTAGATCAGGATGGGGGTGGGCGGACTTCGGGGAATATAAAATACCAATGGGAACATTAAAGAAAGTTGTTTTTTTTTTTCATACTTTCAAAAGGAGTAACCGAGACATAGAAGAAACATACAGAATTCCAGAGTAATCTAAAGGCAGACAGAGGCAAGGAATAAAGGTTTCTCAGCATCCTGCCCACCTGCCTTGGCCTGTGACCAAGGGTGATGCACGGCTGGAGGAAAGACAGAAGCCTCAGGAATTGGGTGACAAGGCCCAGTGAAAGTCTGCTGCCTTCTTCTCACAAAAGGCACTCATCAGGGCTCCCTTTCTGGAACCTTCTACTGTCTGGAAGAAATAGTTCTGGGCAGTTCTCTTGCCCAGGAAACTGCACGCGTCATGTATCAGCTGCCGTTCGCAGCCCCATTTGCGGGCCTGCCGTGGGTCACAGTGTGATACAAAGAACTGGTCCCCGGGCCTTGCCCTGCCGTGTGACCGTGGGCAGGCCGCTCTACCTCAGCTTCTCCATCTCTAATGAGGGGACAGCAATCTGTCCCACCCCCCCTCCCAGAGGGCCTGGGGGGCATATGTGAAGTACTGGCCTGAGAGAGCCAAGAGGTGGGGGCTGTGGAATCCTGGCCTCAGTCAGCCTCACTCACCTCTTTGACTCTGTGCAGCAGGGGCTGGAGCCAGTCTCTGTTCACTTCACAGTGGCTGTCAAGGAAGGTCAGAGTGGTGCCCTGGGCAACACTGGCGCCCCGGATCCGGGACCGGACCAGACCTGCAGTGGGGACAAACGGGCAAGTAGATGCCCCCATCCTTCCATCTTCCGGCAAGCTCGCGGGGGGAGCCACAGGACACCCCCTGCACACTGAACATACACCCAGATGCACATACACACCCCAATCCCCGACATTCACGCTCCAAGGTCCTGCCCAGATGCACGGACCTACCTTGCCGCTCTGTGTTGCGGATGCATTTCACCTTGGGCAACTTGATGAGTTGACTGCAGTCATCAGCTGTGAAGACAGAAGGTGACGCGGGGTGAATGCCCTGGGGTGGAGGTGAACCCGAAGAGTAGGTAAGTAAGGCAGCCCTACCTACTGTCCCTGCCCCCAGCCGCATAGTCCTGTCCTGACCCCAGGGTGTTTGTGGGTTTTGGATGAGGCTGACTGATTGCTTCTATCAATATACAAACATGGCCCAGTCCATGCAAAGTGGCCTCAAGGGAGGCCTCTTTGGAGCAGGTCACATAGTAGTACCTGTATGCTTGCTGGCAAGCACTTCCAGATGGGAATTCTTGGGATGGCCACCTGGAGACTCTTCTCCATTTCTATAGACCATGAAAAGCATGAGACGAGACGCTTGCTCACTCTAGTGGGGTCTAGCAAAAGCTGCTGGGAGACCACACAATGGATGAGATGAATTGTGGCATTTCCTGTCTGATACTGGAGACCTTATCTGTCAAGTGATCTGTCCAGTGTATCCCATCACAGAACTGGCTTACCTCTCTCTCTACCATGCAGGGGAATGTGCCGGGATGGGCAGGAGACCCGGTCTTCAGCATCACCCCAGACCTGTCCTCTGGCTTGCCTGCCTGCCCCATTGCTTCCCTTACCCACCAAGTCTCTGAACTCCACATTGAGACCCCATCGTGTTGGTTTTGCTTCACTGTTTTACCACCCTTAGCCTCTCTTTGGTTCTGGACTCTATAGAGTGACAACAGAGACTCATAGAAGCTTCCTCTGGGCCAAGTACTGTTCCAAGCACGAATGTGTGAACACATTTACTTGACTTTATTTTTTAATGTTTATTTATTTTTGAGAGAGGGGTGGGGGGAGAGAGGGAGAGAGCGAGCAGGGGAGGGGCAGAGAGAAAAGGGAGACACAGAATCAGAAGCAGGCTCCAGGCTCTGAGCTGTCAGCACAGAGCCGGATGCAGGGCTCAAATCCACGAACCGTGAGATCATGACCTGAGCTGAAGTCATGTGCTTAACCAACTGAGCCGCCCAGGCGCCCCGTGTTAACACATTTAAATCCTTACATAAACTGTATAATTATAATGATCTCCATTTACAGTCAAGGAAAGCAAGGCACGTGGAAGTTACTAATTTGCCTGAGGTACGTAGCCAGTGATTGAGTAAGTGATAGGTCTAGGATTTGAAGCTGGGCAGTCTGGCTCCGTCTGTGCTCTAACCACGAAGCTGCTCCGCTTCTGAGTGAACCCAGCAGCATACCCTCCTCAGGCTCCAGTGCCAGGTGACCTGGCAGGACGAGTTTCTCCCCACCTCCAACTGCTTCCTCACTAGGGAAGGGAGATCAGCTCACCAAGTTTAAGTACTGAGAGTCCGATCTTATTGTTCTGGACCCAGTGCACAACTCACGTATGCATTACTCCCAGGGTTCTGAGGCCGTGCGGTGGGTGTAGGTGATAGCCTTCCCGCAGCAGACCCCAGGGTGGTAGTGGTTCCTAAGCCAGCTGCCAGCATAGGCACTCGGGGGGACAGATTCTACTCTCCTAGGACTTGGAGCTGTTCCCAGGGCCATTGCCTGCTTCCCCTGGTTTGTCACCGGAAAGAGGTGGCTCTGCCTGGAACTGCACCCAGGATGCTGGGATGATGGCTCTCATAGGAGGCGGCACTACCAACCCTTGAAGTCTGAGGATGCTTCCCCAACTGTCGTGCCCATCAAACTCAATATACACATGTCTGAGGACACCTGCATGCTCTTCTGGGGGCAAGAAGATATTGGGGGGGTGACCCAGGTTCTTTGATAGGACAACTTGGAAACAGTGATGACCAATGGCTGGAGGGTCAGAGGGCAGCTGCTCACTGCATCATGGCCAGGTGATGGGATGCCCCACACGGCACCCTGCAGAGCCCACCCAGCGCCCCCCACAGGAATGCAAGGAGAGGGTGCTGCAGCCTGTGCTCAGGCTAGCAGATTGTCACAGATACGAGTCAGGGACCCCAAGTGATGGAAACTGCTCTGGGTCCCAGGGTCAATTCTCTGAAGTTTTCTATGTCCAGGATAGGGGACAGTGACATATATGTATGTGCACACCTCCATGTGCACACGTACACACACACACACACACACACACACACACACACACACACCCCAACCCAATCAAGGATCGACTAAATATACTGTGTAGGTCCTCAAAGACCCACAGCAGAGGACCCAACAAATTGTTTTTAAACGTAAGGTTTATCTCCCTCCTGAGCCCCACATCAACACTTGAAGTCTTCTATACCTGCTACAAGCCTAGGCTTCCCTCTATCCCCAGAGAACCGTGGGCAGGGAATAGAAACCTGTGTCTCCAGAGCAAGGGAGCACTGATACTCACGGTCATTGCTGAAGTCATCCACCAGTATGATTTCCTGGATCAGATTCATAGGAGTGCGGTTCAGTACGCTGTGAGGCGGAAGGACGGGAGATAATTAGGACTTCTGGCAGTTAAATGTATGCACTAGCCCGAGCTTTAAATAGACACCACTGCATTTGAGGAATGAAAACTGGGAGCAACCAAAGGGCTTGTGCAGTCATGCCGCTCCTCTGTGCGCCCCTGGGATACAGCCCTGCTTTCCCCTAGTGAATGCCACCGCACCCACCCAGCACCCAGACAGAAACCCAGGAGTTCTCCTCAGTGATATCCCGAGACCCCACACCAAGTCAGTGACCAAGACTTGCTGGTCCCGCTAGAAAAGGTCGCTCAAACCACTTCCACCTCTTCCACTTCTGTCCCGGTTCAACCTCTCTTGCTGGATTTTTTGCAGCAGCCATGACCTGCCTGGGCTGTCCTCTGGGGGCCTCCAGAGTGAGCTTTCTGAAGCCCGGAGCTGACGTCTCATCATGCGACTTTCCTCACCAATGCAAACAAGTTAAGTTGACAAAACCTTCACTGTCTAGACCCAAATCCTCAGCACGCTCTTCACTGTCTGGAGACGGACCCCATTTCCAGCCTCCTCTCGCCTAGGGCCCTTATCGGGTGACATCCTGCTGGTTTGTAACCGAGAGCTGGGTCTGCCACACTGCCATGGCCTGATATGCCCCTTCTCTGTCGCAAGGACCAGTTCAACGTACTTCCTCCCCTAAGAGCTTTCCAGCTACTCAGTGAGAACGGATGGCTTCGGCTTCCTGAGGCTTCTATCATGCCTAACTCTGAGGGTTGGTTTTTGCTGGCCCCTCTGGGCAGAAAGGTCAAGTCGAGCCCAGGGGATCAGGGTCCTTGTCAGTACTGTGCTGCCAGAAGCCAGCTCAGAGCCGTGGCCCGCCATTCCCTCCAGGGATGGGTACTGCACACCTACTGTGTGCTCAGCATTGCATTGGGTATACGAGGAACAGAGGGAACGTCAGCTCTGCCTGCCAGATGCTCAGAGTCTAGGAGCTATTTACTACAAGCTGTGTGATCTTGGGCAAGTTACCTTACTGCTCTGTGCAGTAAGTGGCCCCATCTGTAAAATGGGGATAAGAACAGTAGTACCTATTTCACAGGGCCACTGGGAGAGTTCGAGAGAAAATTTTTATAGAGCATTTAGCACAAAGTCTGGCTCGGAGTAGTTGTCTGGCACTATTTTTGTGCGGCAGGAACAATTCTGGAATTAACTTCATGTGCTGGTCTGTGCTGCTGATGTGCACTCACAGGGCAAGGCTGGATTTCTGGGTTCCCTCGGGGTGTCGGGCCATATTCCACTTCTGAACACCCCAAACCACGCAGTTCCTCAGACACCCTCGGGGCCACACCACCCACTGGAGGGTGCCCATGGCCTGGTGCGTGTTGGGGAGGGGGTTCAGCTGGTGCTGGGGGAGGTCACTGTGTGAGTCCCTCCTCTCAGGAGGGCCAATCTGAGCCCTGTTTCTGGTGAGCTGCCCTGTCTAAGCAGGATGCAGAGACTCTCCAGGAGGAGAACTTTGCCTGGAGCTACTTTTATTTATGTAGCCTTAATTCTCACCATGGCAACTGGTAGAAGGTGAGAGAGCAACCCCGACTCCAAGCCCTGAGCTGGCTGTTGGGAGGTGGGGACACGGAGGGGCAGGAGGTGGCGGGAGGAGACCCTTACCACACAGGATCAATTGACAGTCCCAAAGAAAACACACGCCAACCCAACGACCGACCAGTCTCCTGTTCAGACAGGGAAGGGGGGAGGGAGGCAGAAAGAGGGGGAAAACCTGCTTGAAGAATACCCTCTAATGAGGTTTGATTAAGGCTGCAGCTTCTTCACGTGATTCCCCCCAAATCCCTGCCGGCTCTTTGAAATTCAAGAGTTCTCTTCTGTGAACATCAAAAGGTAAATCGCATGCAGCTCTGGGCTGGTTGAACTGAGAGATGATTAGCGAATAAAAAATGTCCAGGGTTTAAAAAAGAAAAAAAAAAAAACAGAAATCGTCAGCAGTAAGTGCTAATTAGACCATTTCCTGGTAACACCTGGCTTGTTTTTTGCTCCCCTAATCAGAGCAATTGGAGTGATAGCAGGGGCTCCATGAACATGGCCCTGGATTGGGAGAGCCTGAGGTGGCAGGTGCTCTGGGCTCCTGGGGTGGCTGGTAGAGAAAGGTCAAGTCTAGCCCAGGGGCTGGGCCTGGCCCAGCTGGTCCCCCAGGGGCCCCCTTTCTGAACCACCGCTGCCATTCCCACCACCCAGACCCTGCTTGCTCCATTCCTGGAGAGCTGTGCTCTCCCCAGTCCGTCCGCCAGGAGGCTTCACCAGCCCCTCTGCCACCAAGCCAACTGTCCCTTTCCTCCAGCTTAGGAAAAGCCCGTCCCCCACTACGGCGTTCCATGCCCTTTCCACACAGCCTCCGAATGGGAGTGAGTGCTCACCTCACTGGCAGGCCCAGATCACACCCTGCCTGGGAATTATTCTAGAACTGAGTCTCCTACACACAGCTCACTTCTCTGCCAGAGGGCAGCTAGGCAGAGAGCAACTACCTACACCTTCCACAATCTGCCTGCCGAGCCCTGACGGCGGGGGCCCCCATGGAGCACCCTGGGAGGCGGCAGGCACGGCGGTGTGAACGGCGTGGGAGGCCGGGCGGCCCCCAGCATTTCCTAGCTGTGCCATCCTGAACAAGACGCCAGGCCGCTCCCAGCCTTCGTTTTCATCTGTAATTACATTTTCCTTGTAAAGGCAGGTGATATTAATACTTGACCTACTTCACAGGCTCTTGTGCCTTATGAAATGAGGAAATGTATTTGAAATTGCTTTGTGAACTCTACGGTGCTGTATGCAGGCAGGGTTTCTCCAACGTTCCCTAAATGTCAGTGGGATGAAGACCTGAGGCAGGCTGACCGTTGAGTCTGGACCTTCTGGAGTCAGGCTGACTTGGGTTCAAGTACTAGAGCTACATATCCACCATTTGCTGGCTTGAGAGCTTCAGTAGGTACTGAGTCTCCAGCACCACAACTTCCTCGGCTGCCTGAAAGGTGCTCAGCATGGAGCGTGGCCCAGGGGCTGCTTTCAGAATCCAGGTTATTGATAATAATGATGATCCTGGTTCTCAAAGCGTGACCCCAGGGCAAGCAGCATCTGTGCTGCCTGGGCACTTGTTAGAAATGCGAACGCTCGGGCCCCACGCCAGACGCACTGGGTTAGAATACCTGGGGATGGGACCCTCCAGGGGATTCTGATGCCTGCTCAAGTTTGAGAGCCCCTGCGTAACAACACTGCTGCGTCCCCGGGCGGGAGAGCATCAGGACCCCTGCCACTGTCCATTGTACAGGACCCCTCTGTGCCAGGCCCTGCCTGAACCCACTCACTCTTCTCCACCATCGTGTGAGGCAGTTATTACCGGTAGCTCTTGTTTTGCAGAAACGGAAACTGAGGCAGAGAGGTACAGGAGCTTGCCCAGGGCCACACAGTTGGTATAAGCAGAGCGGGCAAATCTGGCCCCGTGTCTCTTTTCTTATCCACCTTAACCTAAGAAGTTGTTCCCTCTAAATCCAAAGTTTTACCAAAAAAGAAAAAAAAAAAAGCAACAGTAAGGAGATTCAGGGTATAATCATGCATGCTCCAGAGCCCCCATGGGCAGTGTCGGGTTGAAGGACACTCCAAAAGGAAGGGGACAGCTCTGGTCTCACATATACACAGGGACCCACTGCAATACCAGATAAAGATAAACCATTCCTTGGGGCTTGCTTCTGTCTCCTTAAGAAAAGAAGTCCCCTCACTGATCTGGGTTGTGACTCTCCCTGCCCCATCACCCACCCCCATCATGCCACTGCCTAGCTCTGAGTACCTTCATGTACACCCTCCCAGCCCCCAGCCCTCACCCAGCTAACTCAGGAACTCAGGGGGCCAGAGAGCGAGGGCAGGGATGGGCAGAGGGGCGAAGGTTTAGTCAAGTGCTGGGGGGAGGGAGGGGGAGGAGAGGGTACATTCCGTCCTCCCCTTGAGTGTCTTTCCCTTGTGAGAGCCTGGCAGCAGAACCATCAGAATTCTAGAACATTAAAGATGAAAGATACTTTAGAGAAGATCCTTTCACTGATGACAAAGCGAGATAGGAAGAGCTCCTCATTCAGTCCTGTCTCAGTGGCTGGTGATTTATTTGTGCATGAAGATAGGGAATGGAAGGAAGAGAATCCCAAGGCAAATAATACCTGGCCATGGAAACTTCTAGAAGTAATCTTCCTTGCTTCCCCCCCTCCCCTAAAATTCACTTCCACCGTGCTTATGATATAAAAGCCTGTCTGTTCACACAGTTCTACCCTCATTCTGCTGTTTTCATATATCACACTTGGGTGTTATATCAGAAGTTCCTCAGAGGCAGGAAGTAGGTCCATGGGCTCTCCTGGCAAAGTGCCCAGGAGTTTGGTGTGTGGTCTGGCACTTCACGGGTGTCTACTGAAAAGTATGGTGCTGATGCGCTGGTCCTAAGCCCTCTTTCAGAACACAGGGCACCAGGGCCTTGGGGGCAGTGCTTATCAGGTTGGTGGACAGAGGCACTGGGTTACACCCTTAGCTGCCTCCCAACCTCCCCCCTTGAGCCAGAAACCTGAGTCTTGGCTCCTGTGCTTCCTAGCCCGGTGGCCTTGGGCCTCTGTTCACGTCAGGCACCCCTGACTTCAAAAGTTCCATTTCCGGATGGGACTCCGACTGGACTGAGGCATAAGGTGTTCTGGAGACCATAAAGGCCAGCATACATTTAAAATAGTAATGATATTATTATAAAGTATCATTATTACTATTGTAAAAGAACAGCGAGAAGAAAAAAAAAACTGTGTCTTAGAGCTGAAAGGGAGGAGTCTACAGAGAGCACCTCAAGTGACCTTGAGAATATAAACACGGTGTTAGGGAACTATGGGGAGCCTGGGAGCCCCACAGGATAACACCCCCAAATGTTCCAGGTAATGTCTTCTTGTGGGAAATGTGGTAGAACTGGAAACATGAGGGATATTTTCATCTCCATCCTTACAGATGTGGTCAGTGATCTGCCCAAGTCACACGGCCAGGAAGCAGTAGGGGAAGGACTTACTTGACCCCAGGTCTTGGGACCCCAGGTACCCGACAGCCTCTTTTGAGAGCTCACTCACCGTGCAGATATGGAGATAGCTAATGCTGCTCAAGCACCGACTCTATGCCCGCCACAGTTCTCGGTCCCTTGTCTAACCCAAAGCAACACTATGCGGTAGCTATGGTTATTATTCCCATTTTCTTGATCAGGCAACTGAGCCACAGGGAGCTTTGGTAAGGGGTGAATAAGATGCAGTCTTGCCCTAAAGGAGTTCACTGAAGATTACACCTGGGAAAAATGCATTAAGTGCTAGAGTAGGGATTTGTAGTAAGAAGTCCAGAGGAAGGCTCTAATGGTGTGTGTGCGTGCGTGTGTGTGTGTGTTAAGGGGGTGGAGGTGCGTGGTGTCAGAGGACTCCTAGAAAGAAGAAGAGAGGCCAGCCTGGAAGGTGAAGACTCCTGCTGATCCCAGTGCCCTCGTGGAAACATCTGGCAGACATAGTTTGTTCCAGAAACCCTGCCTACCCTGCCCAAGCAGACCATGATGGCCATGGGGCTGTGGTCTGGTGTTTTCAAAGTAGTCACCTTCGCTCCACCATGTCCCTGCTCAGCCCAGAGGCTGAGAAACAATGTTTCTCCCTTCACCAGAAAAGACTCAGCTAAATCGGATCACCCCATACCCCTGTTCCCCCCCATATGCCTGCACTGGTTTACAAATCGGAAAGGTACTTTGTTAGTCTACTGCGAGACTCACAGTGACTCCTGACAGTGACTCAGGACATTTTCTGGTCAAGAGCTGAAGCCTTGTTGGGAAACCAAATGCAAACCTGGGGGCCTGGAGGGCGAATACAGAAGCCAGGGCAGAAAAGGCAAGCAGCTGGCCGAAGGAAGCAGCCAGCCGGTTGCCAAGGACATCTGGGCAGCAGACAGAGTTGCCCCTGTAGACAGGGGGGAATCAACACATACTTGGGCAGTTCCCTCCTTGCGTTTCTATGGGATGCACTGACCCTGCAAGGCAGACATTCATCGTAAGTGACAGGTGGCGCCAAAGACTTGGTGCCCGCCATCAGGGCGAGCCTGTCGCTGACTCCCTCCCATCACCCGGAGCTTCCCTACCTGCCCACAGCCAGGCACAGGAAGGTGTGGCTTAGTGATGGAAATGACAAGAGATTTCACCATGTTTGGTCATCCTCTCCTTGGCCCTCCTTCTCTGTGGGATCAGGTGACCATGCGATGCGCTGCCTTCCAGATAGGGATGGGCTCAAGCAGGCCATGTGTCCCAGGGGCATGGAGGTATCGCAGGCACTTTATCCCAGGGCCGACCCCAACACCTCTATCAGGGATGCTGAACACCACCACCATCCACAGCCTTGCCTATAGAGGCTGCTAAGAACTGAGGTCAGAGTGCAAGGGTTTGAACCCTGCTTCACCACTGTTAGCTGAGCAACAGTGGGCTTTGATTCAGTACTTCCAAGTCTCAGTTTTCTCAGCTGCAGAGCGGGTACAGCAGTGGCCTCCCACCTCCCCAACGGACAGCATGAGCCGAGGCACGTCTGCACACGAGGGGACCTCATGATCGATGGCTGCCATTACCACCTTTGAAGATGCCAATGCTGCTGAAGACTTGAAAGAGGAAGGGGGGCCGGATGGTGTTGGGGGGAGGGTGGGCATGGGGAGAGGGCTCCAGAGTTATGGGAGGGACATGGCATGGGGAAGGGAGGCAAAACAACCAGGGCCAGGTCTCCAGGGCCCTGTCTGTGCTCTGAGGGCAGTTTGCTGGGAGCTGGCGCTGGGGCTTTTGCAGGTCACAGATTCATGCAGGCCACAGGCCAAGGTAAGGATGCACCTGTTACAGCAAGAGCGGACCCAGACTAGGAGCTGAGGGTGGGTGGAGAGGCAGAGCGGGGTTGGTGCTGCAACAGAAGATACGCAGCGGGGAAAGCAAATATCAGCACTGCCTTCGAGCTGCTCTGCCATGTGCTGCGGCTCCTGGCCACATGGAGGCTGTGGAGAGGCGTGGACTGGGACTTGCAGTGCCTGGCAGACCCAGGTTCTAATCCCAGCCCAATGCTGGGGTGAGGTATTTACTCAGCGTCACCCCTCGGCTCCCTTGTCAGCTGTGGAAGTTAGAGCTCATGTTCCAGAGACAGTCTAGCACGATGGTTAAGGGCAAGAGCTCCAGATCCTCTGTGGCTGCCACCGACCTCCAAGTTACTGACCACCTGGGGCCTCTGGCTATCCCCCTATAAAATGGGGTAAGAGCCGCCCTCACAGGAGGACGAAGAGCGACAGAATGGATGCATAACATGTATCAGACAGCACCTCCATGGAGTGGGACATGCCTGACATTCTTATCACAGGGCCAGCCTGCCAGTGAGCAGACCCGGTCTTCCCAAGGGCTGGGCCTCGAAGGGCTGATGGATGGATGGGGGGGGCTGTCTTACCTGCGGATGGTTCTGAGCAGGGTGGAGCGGGCCTCGTTGTGGAAGGTGATGATGATGCTGGTCGGGGGCAGGTCCGCACAGTACACCAGCAGGGTGCACCTGGGGAAGGAAAGGCAGGAGCACAGGTAAGACCTTTGGGGGCAAAGCAGATCTAAAGGGCTGGCACCAAGGGGCCAGGTGACTGGCGGTTGCCGGTATAGACAGATGGCTGGCATCTGGGAGGGCTGACCTGGTTGCACAGTGCAGATTAAGACCCCAGGGCAGGAAAGTTCCCAGAAAGACTGAAGGTCAATTTCCTACCACCTCAGGGGAACTTGGGCTCGCATCCAAATTAAGTAAACGTGCAGAACAGAAATGTGGGATTTCTCGCATGTCCGAATTCATGCATGGAGGTTCCTGGTAGCCACACAAAGCCACCCCAGGTCCTGGGCTCTGCTCCCTGGTCTGTGTCCATCCCGGACAGAGCCCCCACCTTGTCCTCGGCCAGCAGCTCCAGTTGACTGCACCAGGCTGACCCCTCACCTCCTGCCACACACAAACATGGAAATCTGGTGTGTTTAACAAGGCAGAGCCCTAAAACCCTGGCACAGAGACAATAAAACCCCATCTTAAAAAAGCATTCATTTCCACGTGTCCAGGATCGTTTCATATGACAATTACATCTGGGGTAATTTCAATTTAATACCTCGCTGCAAGTGAAAATTGTAGCCCGCAGCCCGAAAATTACTATAATAATGAAAATAAACCCGCCAAGTGATGCCGGTGCCACCAGGGACTATCCCTGGGTAAATGCTTCCTCCTGTTTGTCGCTCTTTCGGGGGCTGTCCAATTACAGGGAGTGGTATTAAATGAGGAAGTAAATAACAGACATTTGGTGAGTCAAACACGTCTTTATTTTCCAATTTCGTCCTAGGCTCAGGGCTTTGCATTTGGGGTCCAGAGATCCAAAGATGGACTCCCAGGGGACCGTGAACCCCTTGAAATTGTTTGCAAAGTCGGATAGGCAAAGGTGCGGGTTGTAGCTTTCACTAGATTCTCAAGGAAGTCTGTGGCCGAAGACGCTTAATCTCAGTCCTAGGCCAGAGAGCCTGACGCCCCTGTGGCCTCCCTGATACGTGAACACGTTCCTCCAAGAGCAAACCCTAAACAGAACAGAGAAGGCTGGGCTCTTGTGCTCAGGGCCTGAGCAGATCTGGGTTTGGGTCACCCACCAGGAGCCAAGAATTGGGAAAGGAAGGCTCTAGGGGAAGAGACAGTGAAAAGGTAAGTCATGGCCTTTAGGCCTTCTCCTGCGGCTTCCAGAGAGACAACCCCTCACCACATCACGTCAGCTGTACCTACTAAGAAAACCCCCTGGAATTCACCCCTTCTCTGTCATCCCTGTGGGCCCGGCTCCGAGAGTCCTGCACCTTCTGTCCCTGCCAGTCACGTCCTGTGTGCCACACAGCTCCGCCCATGCCTTCCTCTGGCTTGAAGCCCTCAGTGGCTCCTGTTGCAAAAAGTCCAAACTCCCGACACAGCCCTCAAGACCTTCCACATTTGCAGCTCCCTATGTTGGCAGAACTCTCCACCACCACTCGCACTAAGACTTCTGCATGGAGCAAAGTCCTTCCTCCCTTCTTCATCTAATGAGACCCTACTCATCCTTTGAGACCCTGAGCAATTTTCCCTTCTGCTGTGAAGGTGTTCCACACTCCCCCAGATAGGTAGTGACTTGTTCTTCGTGTACATGTCTCTCTTCTAGAGCTTTCTGATGTGACTGTCTCCCTCACTTGACTATGAGTTCCTCTAGGAAAGGACCCTTGTCTATCTCCATGGCCCTAGAACAAGAGTTAAGTATACTAGATGCCCATTCATGGGGAAAGGGAGAAAGAAATTCAGGAAATGCATTTCTAGGTCAACTGATGACTTAACCTTTGATGTATTTCAAAGGTGTGGCAGCCAGCCTCCCAGAAGGCTTCCAGGAACTCTCACCTACGGGTCCTCATGCCTTGTGTAGTTCTATCCCCCTCACTGAATCAGGGCTAGCTCCTATGACCAGCAGAATATGAGTGACAGTGGGTGACTTCCAAGGCTAAATCACCAAAGCACTGCCACCTGGAGGGAAGTCAGCTGCCGAGGACGTTCAGGCAGCTCGGCGGAGAGATGCCTGCGTGCAGAGGAACTGAGGCTTCTTGCCCACAGCCGGCACCAGCTTGCCAGCCATGTGAACGAGCACCCTGGAAGTGAATCCGCCAGCTCCGGTCAAGCCTATAGATGACAGAAGCTTCAGCAGCTCTAAGCCAGAACCGCCCAGCCAGGATGCTCCCGATTCCTGGCCCACAAAGACTATGAAGGTACGCCACGCTTCCTACTGTTTTTAGGCTGCTAAGTTTGGGAGGGGGGTGGTTTATTTATGCATTTGTTAGCTATCATGAAAAGAGAAGGAAAATGCCGCGACATGGTCCGCCGATGAGAAGAGCCCTTGATGTGGCCTATGTTTGTATACAGAGCTGAGTTTAAATTGGGAGCAACGAGAAGGAAGAGAGCAGGCGGCTGGTTGAGGTGGACGTGGTGGGGGCCCTCGGCTGCTGTACTGCAGGGTCCGTGAGGGCACAGAGAGGATGGAGATACCCAGGCAGAGGGGGAGGAGGCAGTGAGCATGGGCAGCACCAAAAGGAATGAGGTGGATGTCAGGGAGCAGAAGAATAACCATCTGTCTTCTGCAGGAAGCTAACAGAGCTGAGAGCTTTGTAGGGCCTCCTTGTCTCCATCAGAGATGGGGAGAAAGAGAGAGACCAAACCGAGTGACTCAGAAGGCCACTACTACCAGGGCTGTGCCAAGGGTCAGGTGCTAGGCACTGCCTTAGGGATGGCTTTCTCTTCTGCAGCCTGGGAGGCAAGGAGGCCCCAAACCCTAGCTTTCGTGATGTAAGTTATTTAAGGACAACTTGGTGCGGGAGGGTGGTAGTGGGAACAGCTGCTCAGAGAGCTTTTGGGGACAGAGACCCTTTCTCCTGCCTTGGCGACATCCAGCCCAGAGGCAGGCATGTTCATGTGCGACAGCCCAGCAGTATGGACACACACAATGCTTGGAGGGCAGACAGGCAGGCATCACTCTCCCCGGTTGGTGAAGTCTTCATGGAGCTGGAGGATGAGGTAGGGATGGACCGAGGGACATGGGGTATGGTGTCCCAGTCCCAGCACGATTCTGGACCCGCAGACTGAGTGCTGAGTGAGACAGGTCATAGAATACTGGCCTGGGGGTCATATGCTACTGACCAACTGTGAGCAAACCCCCTCCTCCCCAGTCTGCTGTCTACTCATCTGTAAGACAGGTTGGACCCCAGGTCCTCCTGCTTAAGGTCCCCCCAGCATCAGTAATCAGAAGCTGTGATTGTCGCTGACAGTGAATAAAACACAGTTAATCTGAAAGACCATCAAAAAGACCATTTTCAGCTTAGGCTCAGCTGTGTTGCTGGACATCGAATTTTCTTTTCTGAACTGTTTCCTCATCTGGAAAGTGGAGACAATGATTTTTTAACTTGTAGCGATCCCCCCCCCTCCCTAGATTATCACTATGTTGTTAGGTAACAGTCCATGTTTGACAAAACGGTAACTATCATTATTTTCAACGTCAAGTTCAAATGTGCGGACGGCTCTTCCCATGGGGTAGTTCTGTCCTGTCTGACAGAGGGAGAGGGGCGCTGGGAGGCAAGAGGGGGCGAGAGAGCAAAGAATGTAGCATCAACGTTAGAGAGAGGAACCTGGGCTGTGATGTCAATGTGAATCCTGGATCTGCCGAAAACTGGCTGTGTGCCCTTGGGCACATCATTTGCCTTCTCAGAGCCCCAATTTGTCACCTATACAATGCAGACAAATACCTCCCTTGCAGGCTTGTCGTGAAGACCCCAGGCTTCACGTGTTTAACAGATGCTGAGAAGATGGTAGCTAGAATTATCATGACTACAGTGGCTGAACCTGCCTCCATGCACTGGTCCACGCTTATGGACCAGAACCTTAAACTCATGGTTGAGAAAAGGAAGGGGCCTTGGAGACGAGCCAGTTCAACCTCTTAAACTGGGCAGAACTTGGTGGTGTGCCAGGCATTGGTGGGAGCCTGGGCCGTTGTGCTCCTGGACCTCACTCCCCTCCAGCCTCCTGTGCCTGCAGGATACAGGACAGGGGCTCCTCTCTAGGTGGGGCAGGAATCCCCTAAGCGCCCCAGCATGCACAACCCAGGGAGGGTAGGCAGCAGGGCAGAGCCTCACAACATGATGGCACGGGCAGCCTAGCCTGGCTGAGGGGACTTCAAGGCATCTTCCTTCTGCCCCTGGTCACAGCACATCCACTGTCTCATCTGACCCTTGCAACAGCATCTGAGAACCTCCACTCCACACAAGAGGAAAACTGGGGCTCAGGCTCTCCCTCAAGGCCACACACCTGGTGAGGGATTCAGAAGAGTTGAACCCGGGTCCCGTGACTTTTAACTGCGATTTGTCTCTAGCGTCCTGCAGCCCCGCTTAGGGACAAGCACTAGGCACCGGCAGCAGCAAGGCAGAGAGGCTGAGAAAAATCCTTCAAACTGGACGCTGTGTGGAGAGTCAGCTCAGATGGCGGGCTCTCTGGGAGAGGGATCTAAAAGATTAATCAAACAGCAAGATCCATCAGGGACACCAGAGGAATGTCAAAAGCTGCAATGCTAAGATCTGGTACCCACAGACAGACAGGAAAGCTTGTTTATAATTTATTAAAGATTCAGGGGTTTTACTGGAGGGAAGAGTGAGTGAGCCGGAAAGATCGGGGCGGGGGTAGAGCCGGGAGGAAGGGCGGCCCATGCTGTGTGGGGAGACTGACGCCAGCCCGCCCGCCCGGGCTGCTGTCCCCATGGCCCCAGCACCTCCTGAATAACGTATGCTCCACTGAGCTCATTTCCCATGTGTAGTTTATTCTCTCCTGTTCCTCTCTTTTCTTTCTTTCTGAAAAATTCACCTGAGATTCTTGATTTCCCCAAGTTCAGCTGTGTCTCCAAGTGCTTCCTGAACCATCAACTTCTTGAGTGTTCAGGGCACTTACAGGCTGAGGACGCCTCCATAGTGGTTCTGAGATGCCGGCCCCGG